AAAATCATAAATTGTAAAACTAAAAGATTACAGAAAGGCTACCAACATTTTTCAACCGATTTCAACAAAACTTCCCTTTTTTTTTTTTTTTTTTTTTTTTTTTTTTTTTGGGCATGTAGTGTTTCTTATTGTCTTGCACACTTTTTTCTTTATTTTTACATTCAGAATGCTTTAAAAATTCCATTTACAAGACAATTGTTTATAATAAAATTCTATTCAATCAGTAGAGACTCATAATGATTGAAAACAATGTTTTTCTTTGGTTTGACCAATTAAGTAAAAAACACAAAAACAAAAAACCAAACAAATTAAGACGTGCGTGTCCATCAACCTTAAACAATAATCTTTGTCAAATTTATTTTTCAGTCTTTATGATGGTGGATACTTGATCTATCTCTTACTGTTATATCCCCGGCAGCGCTGGGCTGTACTGCTAGTGTGTGTGTATATATATATATATATATATATATATATATATATATATATATATATATATATATATATGTCATCTAGACAGACTGTTTCACTGTATCACAGCTCTTCAGTGTGGCTAGATGTCAGATTGATTTAAGCCAGGATCAAAACTATATATATTTATTGTTGGTGCTTATAAATATATATTTTCTTAATTTATCTTTAGTAATATATACATACATATGTATATGTATATATATATATATATATATATATATATATATATATATAATGAGTTTCTAAAAATCTGGGAAATTCAATCATTTTGGCAAGGTGTGGTAGGGTATTTATTACCACCCCTTGTCAAAATGATTGTGTCAGTAAAAATGAATACCCTACCACCCCTTGTCAAAATGATTGAATTTTCCCTTATCCTTAGAAACTAATATTAAGAATGTATGTACTTATAAAACTCAGTAAATTTCAAAATAAGTTATTCCGAAATTCGCTTGAAAATGAAACTGAACTAGGGATTTTAATTTAATTCTATAATTAAATTTGAAGTTTTTTGTTTGTTTTTGAAACATGGTAATTCCTGTGTAGCGATGGAACCATATTTTTCAATTAGTAAATTTATAATATATAAATATATATAAAAGTGAACATTTAAGTCAACACTCAGGCGACTGGCTGTTTTCATGCTAGACACAATTGTTGTTGCCTGCTGATTGCATCTAGGATGAAACAGCCTGTCGCCTCTGAATGTTGATTTTAATGTTCACTTTTATATTTACATACGCTATCTCTGATATTGAGCACTTTATCCCATAAATATAGCACACCTTAAAACTAATATATATATATATATATATATATATATATATATATATATATATATATATATATATATATAAGTGAACCTTATAACGTAGTTTTATACTGCAGTTGAAGTACAACATTCCTTTTGAGCAAGTTTCTAAAATCTTTTACTGATGAGCTTTGATTAATTACAAGATAAAATCAAAGATACCTTCTTTTAGATTTGTTTTAAAAAAGTGAAAAAAAATTCTGACTTCTCCCTCATTATATCTACTTTGTTAGCTTAATACAACTTCTAAAGTAGAACTTTATGGTGTCAGTTAGGTTACCATAGTTTTCAACATGCTGCTGAATGTTCGTCACGTTGGTTGGCTGGCTGATCAATCTCGTCAGCCAACTTGCTAGCAACAGTGAAAGTGCGTGGCCCTTAGCCTGTCTGAAGTATATTCTCTCGTATGTTTGTCAAGAGTCATTGGTTTATGTCTTGGAATCACAATCAGCCTTCTCTACGCTCCATTTTTAGATGAACAGGGCTGTTCTGTCCTTAAAAACGAACAGAATGCACAACAAGTCAAGCTACGTGAGACGAAATCCTTTCACGAACTCCAAGAAAGAAGTGCTCCGCGTCAGAACGCCATTAACGCCAATTCTGGGATTGCTGCCAGGGATCCTGTCCTTGATATTTCTACAGTCTTGTGCAGAATGCATTTTGCTGAACACTGCTGGTGAGCAAAATGAGAACTCGTGAGTGATCTACTGCTCTGGACACCTAGCCATGGTGCAAGATGAATTGGTTGTCCAGCAACCACCAGCACTGACCAGCTATGTTATGATACAGAATGCAACCCAATGCCTTTCCGAACTTTGACCTAAAAATAACATGCTTTGGAGTAATGGTTAATGAGCAGCTTTGTTAACATCAAATTCTGTAGTAATAATTTAATAGTACCCTATACTATATTGAACCAAAAAAAATCAACATTCTCTGCCAAGTGTTACAAGAAATACGACTCAAGGTAAACCTTTCCAAAACAGAAACTATGATCTGGAATTGGAATGAAAGCATGGACCTTGAATTCATAAAAAAAAATTCAGGGTGTGAAATTAGTAAACACCAAACATTTCAGATACAAGAGAGTACAGATCATTTATAACAAATTTAGTATAGGAGAAAAGCAAATGAACTTAATAGGGTGTGCCAGAAATAGCTTCGACCAACAACGCAAAACATCAACCTGAAAATTCGAGTCATGTTCTTAAATAGCCTCGCCAGATCGAGAATTTCATATAAATGCCACGCATGACACCAAACCCTTTCAGAAATATTTAAACTCTCAGCTGTATACAACTGTGTTCTCAGATCAATGGTTAAAATGGCTTTGAGCAAGTGAAGCCCGTGGATCTTGTCGAAGACCATTAAAACTGAACCTCATGGACTGGCGCTACAGAATCACAAAGAACTGTACCAAATAAGAGAAACCTCATCAATTGAGGACTTTCAACAGCTAAAATATATATATATATATATATATATATATATATATATATATATAGCATGTAACTTGAACAGAAAATAATGACATAACTAAGATGTTGACATTCCACACTACACCTGCACTGACCAGCTATGTTATAAGACAGAACGCAACACAATGTCTTTCAGAACTCTATGCCAACCCAATTCCTTTCCGAACTTTGACCTAAAAATAACATGCTGTAGAGTAATGATTAATGAGCAAGCTTTGTTAGCATCAAATTCAATAGTTACAATTTAATAGTACCCTATACTATATTGAATTGTAAAAAATCAACATCCTCTGCCAAGTGTTACAAGAAATAGGGCTCAAGATAAACCTTTCCAAAACAGAAACTATGATCTGGAATTGGAATGAAAGCAGTTAACGGCACGGACCTTGAATTCATGAAAAACAATTCAGGATGTGAAATTAGTAAACACTAAAGTATAGATCAGTTCTAACAAATTTAGTATAGGAGAAAAGCAAATGAACCTAATAGGCTGTGCCAGAAATAGTTTCGACCAACAACGCAAAACATCAACCTGAAAATTTGATTCTTGTTCTTAAATAGCCTCGCCAGATTTAGACTTGCATATAAATGCCATGCATGACACCAGACCCTTTCAGAAATATTTAAACTCTTAGCTGTATATAACAGTGTTCTCAGATCAATGGTTAAAATGGCTTTGAGCAAGTGAAGCCCGTGGATTTTAGCAAACAAAACAAGAATTTGCAAGTGATCTACTGCTCTGAACACCTAGCCACGGAGCAAGGCAGGTTGATCACCCAGTAATCACCTACACTGACCAGTGATGTTATGATGCAAGATCCCACCCCAATGACCTAACCTTGATGCAGGACCATGTCTAGGATAGCTCAAGTGAATAAAAAAAAAAAATAGCGTATATAATGATAACTCCTCATCTGAGAAATTCAGACAAAAACTAGGTTAAGGTCATTTAAAAAAATAAATATAAATTAAGTTTGGTTAAGCAAATGTAAATTAAAAAGAACAAAAAAATCTATAAGAAAATGTTTTCCTATGTATTTTGAACTGATTTGACAAGGCTAACAGCCACATCATGTTGATCATCCTGGGTATGATGATAAACTACATCTGGCAGCAAGGCCTCTGATCAGGAGGTTTGTAGGAGTATGGAACCACCTCTTAATTGCTGCTGTTCTCAGGTCCACCCTGATCCAGGGTGGTAACACCTGTTTGGGTCTAGGGTCAAAACACTATGAATGTCTAAAAATAGGTTTCTATAGTAAAATTACCAGCAATAGATTTTTGAGAAAAAAAAAAAAAAAAATTACCAGCAATAGATTTGACTCTACAAAAATCCTCTTTACAAAAATACGTCAATGAAACCTGATCTACAAACAGATTACTTACAAAGGATACATATATTCATACAAACCTATCCTAAAAATCTTGTCAGTATTAAACACCAGTTTGTATATGATCATAGTGGTTAAACAATGTTGAGCCTGGTCAGTATTTTGATGGGTAACCACTTAGGAATACCAAGTACTGTAAACTTGGATGTATGGATGGTGTTATGAATAATGACTCGAAATTGTTAATCAGAGAACTAAGTTTCAATTCCATTTGGGTTCATTAGATTAACTTCTGCAAAAAATACCCTTGGGAAAGCAAAGAATCCATCACTTCTACCCCTAGCTATGGGTTAATAAGTAAGAGTTGTATTGTATCACTAAACTGTTATCTTGAAATATTTTCTGGCTTTAAATCACCTGCAAAGGTTTGATAAGCCATAAAAAAACAAATCAATGATTTGATAAAATGTAACTTTTATTTCTTCCGGATTTTTCTATCCTAAGAAAAATAACCGTAAGCAAGTCTACTGGGTTGTCAGGTATTTATACATTTGTAATTGGACATCAGACATATCTAAGAGGGACACAAATCGAGGGTCCTGTTTTGCATTATGTGTACATTGAAGATCAATCCCCCTTAACTGATTTAAAAAAAAAAAAATTAAAAAGTAAGAAGGAAAGATGGCAATTGAGTATTGACTTGAAAAGTTCAAGATAGAAGTTTTTGGGAAAACATCCTTATTGGAGATTTTTCTAAAAAGTGCCATCACACAGAAGTCATATTGCTCGATCTGATTAAATAGTGCATACCCCTCTATGACCAATCAGCATTATTAGATTTTGTTGTAAATGAATTCTACTCTGTTGAATATTTATAACCCTGTTTTTTTTTTTTTCTTTTTCTTATAGTAAGTCAGAACAGATTGAGTTCTCAATGTGGCTTCTTCGTTATTTGGGCACCATGTGCCTTTTTGTGCTGGGTTTCCAAGCACCTGGTGTTCCTCGGGCAGATTATTATATGCTGATACGAGATATAGAGCAGGTAAGAAATACCTTTGACTAAAAAAAAAAAATTTTACAAAATTTGCGATTTGGAGGCACTTTTTCTTTTTCTCTTCTTTCTTCTTTTCTTTATTTTCTCTTCTTTTTCTTTTTTCTCTTTGTTTTTCTCTCCGTTTTTGTCTTTTTCTCTTCTTTTTTTTTCTCTTCTTTTTTTCTTCTTTTTTTTTTTTCTCTTCTTTTTTTTTCTCTTCTTTTTTTTCTCTTCTTTTTTCTCTTTTTTTTTCTCTTCTTTTTTTTCTCTTCTTTTTTTTTTCTCTTCTTTTTTTTTTCTCTTCTTTTTTTTTTCTCTTCTTTTTTTTTTCTCTTCTTTTTTTTTCTTCTTTTTTTTTTTTTTTTCTCTTTTTTTTTTCTCTTCTTTTTTTTTCTCTTTTTTTTTTTTTTCTTCTTTTTTTTTCTCTTCTTTTTTTTTCTCTTCTTTTTTTTTCTCTTCTTTTTTTTTCTCTTCTTTTTTTTTCTCTTCTTTTTTTTTCTCTTCTTTTTTTTTCTCTTCTTTTTTTTCTTTTTTTTTTTCTTTTTTTTTCTTTTTTTTCTTTTTTTTTCTCTTCTTTTTTTTTCTCTTCTTTTTTTTTCTCTTCTTTTTTTTTCTCTTCTTTTTTTTTCTCTTGGAAATCAGTTAGCTTGGCATCACCTGCATAGTGAGTGGTGAAACAGTTGTGTCTCTCTCTCTTTTATTACTTCATATCTCATCATCATCTTTTGACTCCCCCCATGATTGGTCGGAAATCCATTGATAATCCCTTTCCTCACTGTTCAGTCCTGTATTGCTGTCATGAATCCCCAGTCCCGCGATATGATGTCTGGGGAAAGTCAATTTTTGTGAGAAGATACCTCCAGAAGGATGCCATAGGAGTAAGGATGAGACAATTTCCCTGTTTGCTCGGTGGCAGTGTCTAGCAAAGTGTAATCGTTTTTGTTTGAGCTTAAGAGAGATTGGTGTCAGTTCCGTAAATTGTGTTAAGCATTGCATGGGATCTCCAACTGATGTTCTAGACTTTTCTAAGTAGATTTGTATATGTTCCATCCAGTTGTCTTTCAAGACGAACAGACACTGTCCAAGTTTCTGATCCATACAGTAGGACTGGTTCAATCAATGTTTGAAATGTTTGAACTTTTAAATCCAATGTCAGTTATTGGGGCAGGTATTGTATAATATCAGATAAAAAAAATCAGTTGCTTTAAATGACTTAGTTTATATTTGAGATGCAATAAAGTGTGTGTAAAAATGGCGGGGACATTATAAAAACAAGTAACTTTTTTTTAAATAAAAAAAAAAAAAAGACAATACATAATTAAACAGTTGATTAAAATATTTTTTTTTTTTTTCTAACATATTTCACTTTTTTTTTTCTTTTTAACATACTTTTTTTTTCTTTTCTAACATATTTCACTTTTCTTTTTTCTTTTCTAACATATTTCACTTTTCTTTTTTCTTTTCTAACATATTTCACTTTTCTTTTTTCTTTTCTAACATATTTCACTTTTCTTTTTTCTTTTCTAACATATTTCACTTTTCTTTTCTTTTTTTTCTTTTCTAACATATTTCTTTTTCTTTTTAACATATTTTTTTCTTTTTTTTTCTAACATATTTCACTTTTTTTTTTTCTTTTCTAACATATTTCACTTTTATTTTTTCTTTTCTAACATATTTCACTTTTCTTTTTTCTTTTCTAACATATTTCACTTTTCTTTTTTCTTTTCTAACATATTTCACTTTTCTTTTTTTTCTAACATTTTCTTTAACATATTTCTTTTTATTTTTTTCTTTTCTAACATATTTCTTTTTCTTTTCTAACATATTTTTTTCTTTTCTAACATATTTCACTTTTCTTTTCTAACATATTTCCTTTCTTTTCTAACATATTTTTTCTTTTCTAACATATTTCACTTTTCTTTTCTAACATATTTCACTTTTCTTTTTCTAACATATTTCCTTTTCTTTTCTAACATATTTCACTTTTCTTTTCTAACATATTTCCTTTTCTTTTTAACATATTTCACTTTTCTTTTCTAACATATTTCACTTTTCTTTTTCTAACATATTTCACTTTTTTCTTTTCTAACATATTTCACTTTTCTTTTTCTAACATATTTCACTTTTCTTTTCTAACATATTTCCTTTTCTTTTCTAACATATTTCACTTTTCTTTTCTAACATATTTCCTTTTCTTTTCTAACATATTTCTTTTCTAACATATTTCACTTTTCTTTTCTAACATATTTCACTTTTCTTTTCTAACATATTTCACTTTTTCTTTTCTAACATATTTCCTTTTCTTTTCTAACATATTTCACTTTTCTTTTCTAACATATTTCCTTTTCTTTTCTAACATATTTCACTTTTCTTTTCTAACATATTTCCTTTTCTTTTCTAACATATTTCACTTTTCTTTTCTAACATATTTGCTTTTTCTTTTCTAACATATTTCACTTTTCTTTTCTAACATATTTCACTTTTCTTTTCTAACATATTTCACTTTTTCTTTTTCTAACATATTTCACTTTTCTTTTCTAACATATTTCACTTTTCTTTTCTAACATATTTCACTTTTCTTTTCTAACATATTTCACTTTTCTTTTCTAACATATTTCACTTTTCTTTCTAACATTTTTTTTTTTTCTAACATATTTCACTTTTCTTTTCTAACATATTTCACTTTTCTTTTCTAACATATTTCACTTTTCTTTTCTAACATATTTCACTTTTTCTTTTTCTAACATATTTCACTTTTCTTTTCTAACATATTTCACTTTTCTTTTCTAACATATTTCACTTTTCTTTTCTAACATATTTCACTTTTCTTTTCTAACATATTTCACTTTTCTTTTCTAACATATTTCACTTTTCTTTTCTAACATATTTCACTTTTCTTTTCTAACATATTTCACTTTTCTTTTCTAACATATTTCACTTTTCTTTTTCTAACATATTTCCTTTTCTTTTTCTAACATATTTCACTTTTCTTTTCTAACATATTTCTTTTCTTTTCTAACATATTTCTTTTCTTTTCTAACATATTTCTTTTTTTCTTTTCTAACATATTTCACTTTTCTTTTCTAACATATTTCACTTTTCTTTTCTAACATATTTCACTTTTCTTTTCTAACATATTTCACTTTTTCTTTTCTAACATATTTCACTTTTCTTTTCTAACATATTTCACTTTTCTTTTCTAACATATTTCACTTTTCTTTTCTAACATATTTCACTTTTCTTTTCTAACATATTTCACTTTTCTTTTCTAACATATTTCACTTTTCTTTTCTAACATATTTCACTTTTCTTTTCTAACATATTTCACTTTTCTTTTTTTTTCTTTTACAGGGTCAAGAAAGGTCACAAGTCTCTGTTTGGAAGAATGTTTTGGCAAAATTAAAGATTATGTTCCCCATGGTGTGGCCGAAGGGGAAACCATGGCTTCAGCTTATGGTCATTCTATGCCTGGGCCTCTTAGGCTTGGGTCGTGTCATCAATGTTTACGTCCCTGTTTATTATAAAAAGATTGGTAAGCAGAACTTTTCTTTAGGCAGGTACTCTCTCCAACTCATCACCTGAAAAGATTTGGACCTTTCAAGACTTGAGATGTATACATCCTATGGTTTCTATGACTGCAAGGGTATATATATGTCCCTTAGGTCTCACACAGTTGAGTCAAACAGGAATTTGTAATTTCTGAGCTCTCTCCCTGAACGATTTTCACCTCAATTATAGAAATGTATTGATTTTATTTGTTCACAAAAGGAACGTTAAAACATAATGTTTGTGTTTCTAATTAAAAAATGTAGGGTTTTTGGTCTAGAAATCCTAGTGTGCAGTGGGTTTACAACCATATCATGTTGAAACACCGGTTCTTGTACGATAACTAAAAGTCTGATTAGTACCTAGATGGGTAACCACTTGGGATTAGAAACGTCAGGTGCTGTAAGCATGGATGTGTGGGTGGTGCAATGGATAATGACTTAGAATTGGAAAATCAAAGAGCTGAGTTCCAATTCCAGTTAGATTTGTTGTAATCACTTACACACAAATACACTTGGGAAAGGTATGAATCCACCTCTTCTCCCCACCAACTATCATTGTCAATCATTATCTCCCCACTCCAACCAATTCTTTTCATAATAAAATATTTTCTGGTTTAAATTAACATGCAAAGAGTCAATAAGCTGTGAAAATTAATTCCATCAAATCAAAACTTAGTCAGCAGTGAATTCTCAAAAATAATTTAATTTTGTGTTTGACTCACATAGACTTCTTTTGAAGTGGGGGAGATTTTAAATGCCGAAAATGAATTCGGCATCGAAAAAAATATAGGAATAGAAGTCTAGATCATGATTTTCTGATGAAGACAAGGAAAGTTATATTGAAAACTGATATTTGGGGTCTGGTATATAATGCCTAAAGTGGTTAATATGAAAAGCAGATTTAAATTCTGTTAATATTTGGAAATTTGGTTGTGCTAGCACAAAGTCACATGTCATCGTGACCGAGGGTTTGAGCGTGGTAGCCTTGTTCAGACAGCCAATAAGGTGCTCTCTCCCAGAAACTGGAACTAAGTCCTGCTCAGGTAGGTTCTGTGAGTGTTGAACTAAACTGATATTTGTGCCTGAAGTGGGTAATGATCAATTTAATATATATCTTTACCCAAGAACAACACTGTTCTTACATTTTGCAGATTTTAATTAGTTTAACATTTGAGAACTTACACAAAATAGAAGAGAAAAAAAAAAAAAAAAAAACGCATCTTGGGAATTTTTTGTTACTGTTATTCAAAGTTGAGGGGGGTAGCAGAAACAAAAATGCAAGCAAAACATGACAATAAATTGTATTGACTGAATTTTGTATTGTACAGCCATACAATCCATGGAATAGGTAATTTTTTTTAAAAAAGAAAAGAGTATCGAGTTAAACCTGTTAATTATAAGATTGATTTCAACAAGATTCAAACTGCTTAGCAAAGAGTGACAGAAAAAAGCAACTATCCAGAATTGATCATCTAATAGTAGGTGATTAAATGCATGTGAGTTTTGATTAACTTCGAACAATCATAACTTGACAAATAAATACTTGGAATTAGGACAAAGTTAAAATCTTGAGACTGTTCTATATTGTCTGAAAGTAGACAAACCACTTGGGGTGGGGGATACAATGTCTGCTTACCAAGCACACTGTGATCCACCCAGTTGGAGGAGATGGTTCTAAATCTTTTTTTTTTTTTATTATACTAAAGTTCCCAATATAAGGCTCAAGAATCACTTAAGGAAGAGGAGTGCTGCTAAAATAGTTCTAATAAATAAGTTGTATATGAATGAAAGGGGTGGCAGGAAGTGAAAATTATGAAGATAAAGAAAGACAATTGAACCATGACTTGAAGATCTGTCCAAGAAAAACACACACACAAGAAGGAATAAGGGAGGACACATCAACCTGAAATGTGGTTATAACTGATAATTGGGGAGGAGGAGGATTTTTCCCCTGGCCCCTTGTACATCCGAACTTCTGTTAATGAACATCTCATCAAATGCTTCACCACAAATGTAAATGTACAGATAAACACCTCATCTGGAATTAGGAAAAAAGTTGGGGGGGGGGGAATGTTCCAGAAATGCTAAATATCCGCTTACCACCCTGCTGTGTTTTAGAAATTTACTGTGGTTTTTCATATCTATTGGTATATTTCTTCAAAAAGTAATCATGAATTTTTATTTATTTTTTTTTTTTCCCCTTCCTTGCTTTTACAATTACAGAAAATTGTCATAGCATGAAATCTCTGAATAATTTAGTTTGTATTAGATAACTGGAAAGAAAATCTATCTTTTTCATCTTATCACATAAAGATAAACTAATTCAGTAATGTTTAAATTTTGTGCCTGCAAAAAAAACGGGTGTGTCAAATGGATGGTTATTCCCTTGATGCTGCTATTATTGTATACACTTTTTGATTTCTTAAGTGATGATTCACTTTTAATCTGTTTTCATATAAACACGTTTTATACATTTTCTTTATTCTTGACAATAACAGACATTTTAGTTATTAAATTGAAAAAAAAAAAACTTTATTTCAGAGCTATTTATAAAATGGTAAATAATAAATATTGCATCAATTTTATTTTCTTTATAAAATGGTAAATAATAAATCTTTATAAAAGGTAAATAATAAATATCGCATTGTACTTGGCTCACATATTTTATAATCTTTTAAATAAACATTGCTGAGTGAGTCAAAAATGTATACAGTAATATTGGTATCAAAGGAATAACCTTTCTTTTGTCATGTTTTGTTTTTGTGAGCAGAAAGATTAAATATTGCCATTAATTTCTCCCACTTACATTTATTTATTTATTTATTTTTTTTTTTTTCTGGATTTTAATTTCAGTCTAAAAGTCTGAGAGAAGTTATTATTTCCTTCAAGTAAGCTAAGGTAGTCGCTATTTATATCTTCTTGAAAAGGTCCTTAATACTAGTAAGTGAATAAATGCTTCTGGAACCTGTGTAATCATTAAAAAAAAAAAAAAAAACTTTTTTTTTCCTTTTTTTTTAATTATAGTTAACAGCTTGATTGAAACTGGAGATAAACCTTTGGAATTCCGTTGGGATCTCATTCTCATCTATGCAGGACTTTTCATGTTACAAGGAGGTGGTTTTGGTGAGTGAATCTCATTTGCTTTTATTTCTGAGATATATATATATATATATTTTATATATGCAGTACTTAATGGAAAGTGCTCAATATCAGTGATAGAGCTAACATATTCAGTTGTATGGATATGAGTTTGTGACCCTGGGTTGCATGCTTTTGCGATCTTCAGAGACAAATTGGTCCAATTTTTAAAATTGGATCTATTTATGCTTCTTTATGTTTGGTTATGTTTCATGGGGGGAGGGGGAATTTTCATCTGTGTTTGTTTTGGTGCTTTCGTCATCATCAGACAAACCAAAAAAGAAAAACAGTTTGTCTGATCGCAATAGTGTGAAATCCAGGGTCACAAACTCATATCCATACAATTGATTTTTTTATATATATATATATATATATATATATATATATATATATATATATATAGCAAAAATTCAAAATTACCTGATGTGGGTATAGTCTATTTCAAACTGACACATCTTTGTGCCAGTCTTCTTCAGCAGTAGACTGACTGGAATCTGGTTTTGAATGATTCTGAGACAGTCTAGGGCTGGAGAAGACTAGAACACGGTTGTGCCAGTTTGAAATAGACTATACCCACATGAGGTGATTTTGAATTTTTACTGTATAATATATATGCTCTGTTATAATAAATACATTGAGCTGTCTCTGTGGATCAGTTTTAATATCTGATATTACTAGGATTCACCTGGATTATTGTTATACTGGAACACACCTATTCTATAGTTAATAGATCTCCCACCTATAATAAGTAGGAGTTGGCCAGTTGCTCAGTAAGTTGCTCAGTCAGTCGATGTCGGATGACCGTTAGTCGGATACTAAAGTATCAGTGACCACAACCAGATTTCTCTGTGTCATTACCTATTATGTCAAGTTCCTAACGTTTGTACGTCGAACCTATTTTAGGACCGACTTAGTGAAATACAAGCCTCCACTGTGAAACTACTCTACAACAATTATATATACCAATGAATATATATATATATATATATATATATATATATATACACACACACACACACACACACACACACACACACACACACACACAAGGTCTGATCAAAATGTATCAGGCTTGGTGCCATAAAATAAAAACTAAAATGCAATATCAATTTGGCATTTAATCTACTTTGAAGTATTTCCTTTCATGGAAGCATTTCTGGAACTACTTTTTTTGGGATAATGAGCAGGTGCTTCGTCATATTCTCTTAAATTTCCTCGATGTCTTGAAATTTTGTTCAAGTGGGATTTGATTGTTGAAAAGGAAAAAAGTTGCAAGGGGCGAGATCTAGGGAATATGGTGGTTTTTAGACCTAGGGAATGTTTTACTTGGCCAGAGACTGCTGCATGAGCCATGGTCACTGATGGAAGCTTTTGGTATGGTGAGACAACCACGCTCTACACACTTTCCTTCCAAGGAGTGCTATAAACAACAGAAGTGAGCAAGAATGTTATAACTTAGTGTGAATAAGCAACAGAAATCAAGATCAATCTGTGCCAAGCAACTTCACTCTGTATACTTTAGCTTGTTTACCATAGCAACAGTTCTGATACTTTTTGATCAAACCGTGTGTGTCTGTGTGTGTGTGTATATATATATATATATATATATATATATATATATATATATTTTTGTTTTTTTCTTCCCTCTCCATCTCTCTTTCTCACTTCTCTCCCCACCCCCAAATTTTTAAAACCTTATATTGAAATTTTTATTTTTTTTCTTCCTCTTTTAATGTTAAAATATTTCCCTTTTTTTTTTTTTCTTGTCTCTTTTCCTTTCGTATGAATAAATTGCCCATGTGAAATTTTTTTATTTTATAGCAGTATTTCACTATAGAAATGCATTGTAAATGAGGAAGAAAGGGATTGTCAGTGGTCAGGAATGAAGGCAAGCATTGCTGGCAGAATAAGGCTATTATATGTAGAATTATTATTTCATAGCAGTGTTTCACTATAAAAATGCATTGTAAATGAGGAGAAAAGTGATTGTCAGTGGTCAGGAATGAAGGCAAGCATTATTATAGGATAAGTTGATTTATATTTAGCTTGAGTGCTTATAAAACATCTGGAACAATGCTAAATGTAAGGAAGCTGGTGTCTATTTTGAGAATCGGTTTTCATTTTGTTTTTTCTTTTCTTTTCTTTACTTTTTTTTAAGTGGTAGGAATGCAAGTTCTATTAGCACTTAACACTAATAAAACTTCAATCCCTACCATTTTTGTTGAGTGTAAAAAGATAAAAAGGCTTTTTACGTCTTGAATTTACTTTGAAATACTGTTGAAGTGGTTAAAATTGTTAATCTGTCGCTCTGAAAGGAGGTGAAATGTTGCTTCTTGTTTCTCCTGCAATTTCTTATATGTTAAATTCCTATGAAAGATTTCTTATAAGCCTCCCTTGAGGCATGGCTGTATTGATCCCATTTTTAATTAAATGTCTCTTCTCTTTTTAATTGCAGGCTCCACTGGTGTTCTCAATAACCTGCGATCATTTTTTTGGATCCGTGTTCAACAATTTACCACCCGAGAGATCCAGTTAAAACTTTTTGGTCATTTACACAGGTGAGTAACTTGTTGATGGCAACATTGAAGCAGAGACACTTAGAAATTTAAATAAAAGATTATATGAACATAAAAATGACCCCTTCTTAGACTCGGTGCATTGGTTGTACATTGTGATAGGTTTGACCTCAATTTAGACTTAAAAGAATGCAGTTTTAATTAAAAGAGAAAGCAATTCAATAAAGTGAAAAAGTATTGACTGTGCACTGATTTCAGAAACCTTTCTTGTAAATTTGCATCCAAGATCATGTTTGGTTTGTTTTGTTTTATGGCATATCAACACCTCAATGGGTCATTTAATGTTGACAACTTTTTTTTTTTTTTCCTGGTAATATTTTTGTTTTGTCAAAAATCTATTTCTGTTAATATTTTTTTCCCCAAAAATGTATAGCTGGTTATATTATTTTTCAAAAACATACAGCTGGCAACATTATTTTTTCAAAAACATACTATCGGAGGCCTTGTTGTTGGACATAGTTTATCGTCTTACCCAGGATGGCCCAAGCTCAGGTAACATATCTCCTAACAAAACAACTACTATTATAATGTGGTATGATTTTTTTAAAAAATAAATAGCAATAAGCTTTAAAAACCTGAATGTTTAGCATTTATATACATGGGACAACGAAATTTAAATATTGAGTGTCCTTTTGTTCTGCACCTGAGAGTACATGTCCGTGTCACATGCAGGTTTAATCTCAAAGACAGACAGATAAATATCTTAAGGCAATTTAAACTCTGAAGAAAACAAAGCCCTGTTCAAGTTTATTAATAACCAAAAGAGTAAAACTAGGAAAAGATATAAAAACATTTAAAAAAGACAAATTAGTTTGAAAATACAAATGAGGATAACAAGTAATATGACAGAAGCATCTGAAGGTTTGAACATAAAACTAAGACCATTTGTCTAAATTAGGTACCTCCCAATAATTCACTGAAAAAAAGAGCACATTGTATGAAGAAAAAGGGCCCCAAACTTAATAAAAACAAAGTTTTATCATCAAAATATTTGTTATTATTAAGAGGAAAGAACAAAGTATATTTTTTTTAATTTTTTTACTTTTTCCAAACACGTTCAAAATTTGGGTTAAAAATCTTTTTTTTTTTTTTTTTCTTTTTTTATGTGTCAACAGTGTAACATAACTGCTAATGGACATTTTTGTGCCTGTTTTCTAGTAAAATAACATTTATTTTGAAAATTCTTGCAAAAATCAAATAATTGTTGGATTTTAATGAAAGTTCCGGGACTTACTCACAAATGAATTAATTTAGTTTTGAAATTATTATTTTTAGAAAATCTTCGTAAAAAAAATTTTTTTTTAAATTTTTTTTAAATTTTTTTATGGCAACATAAAACATTCAAATAATGACATGATAATAAAATAAGCAAATATAAGGAGAAAAGGTAAAAAAGTTACAAACTCGTGATGATAACTTTGAAGGTGAGATTAAGAGGAGGATGAAACTACTGACCATGTACTTGGTGTAATGGCTTGGTCTGAGGGTTCCAAGTGAAGGGCTAACTGGGTGTGGTCAAAGCAGTGACCAATCTAAAATGTATCTAAAAGAGACAAAGGGGAAGTAAAACAATACAGTTTCTATACTGTGGTAACAGAACACTGTGAATTTTTAATATTTTCATTGTAAAATGTAACATTCACAATGTTTTGGCTGTTGTACACTTCGGCCTTCTTCAGGTGATATTTGGAATTTTGAACCTTGACTTAGTCCAAACAGTGTAAATAGTTACAATATCTCTTCTTAGAAATATAGACAGATATAACCAGTATTTGTTGTAATTCTACCCTAACTTTTTCATATACAAGATTGATTTCATCAATAAAACAATTGTCTCAAGAAGTTAATGGAAGAAAACTTGCTACCACACAATTTTCAGTGTTGTTATTTATTTGCCCACCATTATTCTTATATATATATATAGCAGCATGGACTTGGTCTATACTGGGGTTGAATAAGACGGCCAAATTTTTTGTTGGTTGAAATAGGGCTATATCCCATATGAGATAATTTTGGATTTTATTGTGTACTAATTATTTGCTCTGTAATAAATACATTGAGCTCATTTTGTGGATCAGTTTTAATATTTTTTAATTCATTTACTCTCTCTCTCTGTGTCTCTCTCTCTATCTATCTATCTATATATATATATATATATATATATATATATATATATATATATATATATATATATAAAGTGAACATTGAAGTCAACACTCAGAGGCGACAGGCTGTTTCATGCTAGATGCAATTGTCAGGCTGCATCCTGATGATTGCGCCTAGCATGAAACAGCCTGTTGCCTCTGAGTGTTAACTTCAATGTTCACTTTTACATTTATATTTACATACGCTCTCTCTCTCTCTCTCTCTCATTGAGCACTTTATCCCATAAATATAGCACACCTTAAAACCATATTTCTTTTTATATATATATACACACACACAAACTTTAAAGCTACCCTATTGTGCAGTATTTAAGCTAGCTCCTGTGAAGGGCTCTTGATTGGGCCTTCACCTTGTTCAGGAGTTTGAGAGTCCCAATCTGGGTTTTCATTTTCATGGGACTTTCTTTTCCTTGCTTTCAGCCTTGGCTCTTTTGATTGCAATCTGATCCTCTGTTGGTGGAGATTTCTTTTTGCGAGGCATACTGCTGCTGTATGCGATAGGCAACAATAAATTACAGAAGGATTCAAAATTGACCTTTGCATTGCATTAATATCTAAGCTTACCTTTTAAAAGTTCAATGATAATTTTTCTGACCCCATTTTAATTTAAAGACAGTTTGATTTACATAGGTCTTTACTTTCTGTACAAACGATTATTTTTATTTCATGGTTGACTTTCGCTGGATTTTGCAATTAATTTCGATTATTCTGAAATTTATTTCCAAGTTATAAAAATTATTTTACAAAAAAATTTGCCATATGAAAATCACGGAAAACAATCGCAGTAATGAAAATATGGGAATCTAAATTTTCAGGATTGCGGATCCGGCCTGGACTGTTTTTAATTTGCTCATGGAATCAGCTTGATTCTAAAATGGTATATGTTGGTCTACTCTAGGAGTAAAGTTGAATAAGTGTGATATGCAAGGATATTTTTGCATTTTTATATAATATATATAATGCCTGCAGCCAGGCGATAAAAAAAAAAGAAACACTTATTTTACAACGAATATCTTTTTGGTTTATCTTACTTGTCATTGCACTTAATCCTCTGGTGCATTCAACATATTGATTAAACATTGAATTGGAAATTTAAAATCTAAATTCAAGCAATATTCATAGTGTGTACCCTATTTAAATAGATTATTTATTGCAATGGTTGTCAAAACACCAGCTGATTGCCAATTGATTCAAACTTTATAAAACGGTAAATAATAAGGATTTCATTATAGTTGGTTCACACGTTTTTAGAATTTACTAAATGTTTATAAATTTATGAATAAAAATTGTTTTTGTATTTATTTTTTTTTATAAAATGGTAAATTATAAATATTGCATTGCATTTATCTATCTATCTATCTCTATCTATCTATCTATCCATCTATCATCTTATCCCCTATCTATCCCCATCCATCCCCATCTATCTCTATCCCCATCCATCCATCTATCCATCCCATCCATCCATCCCTATCCATCCATCCCTCCATCCATCCATCCCCATCTATCCCCATCTATCCATCCCCATCCATCCATCCCCATCCATCCATCCATCCCCATCCATCATCCCATCTATCTCTATCTATCTATCCCCATCTATCCTCTATCTATCTATCCATCTATCCCATCTATCCCCATCCCCATCTATCCCCATCTATCTATCTATCCCTATCCATCCCCATCTATCCCCATCCATCCATCCCCATCCATCCATCTATCTATCCATCTCCATCCATCTATCCCATCCATCCATCCCTATCCATCCATCCCCATCCATCCATCCCCATCCATCCATCCCCATCCATCCATCCCCATCTATCTATCCCCATCCCCATCCATCTATCTCTATCCCCATCTATCCATCTCTATCCATCCTATCTATCCATCCCCATCTATCTCATCCATCCATCCCATCTATCCCATCTATCCATCCATCCATCTCTCTCATCTATCTATCCATCCATCCATCTATCTATCTATCCATCCCCATCCATCTATCCCATCCCTATCTCTCTATCCATCTATATCCATCTCTCTATCTCCATCTATCTATCTCTCATCTATCTATCTATCTCTCTCCTATCCATCTCTCATCTCATCTCTCTATCTCTCTATCTATCTATCTCTCTATCTATCTATCTCTCTATCTCTCTATCTATCTATCTATCTCTCTATCTATCTCTCTATCTATCTATCTCTCTATCTATCTATCTCTCTATCTATCTATCTATCTCTCTCTTTATTTTGTTCTCTTGGTATTTATGTATGTATCTGTCCCAATCTTTTCATAGGTATTTCATTCTATTCATATCTATCTCATTCTATTCACACACAAACAATGTAAATAATTTAAGTTTTAATACAGTTGTGCTTTTAGAATGTTGTAAATATATAATTATTCTTGTAAATAAACAAATAAATATTAAACAATATTTATTTATTGGATTGTTTATTAACAAAAATATTAAACTATTTTTGTTGTAAATTCTCAAGAACAATAAAAAAATGTATAAATTCACTTTCACATGTTTAGGTTTTATTAAAATTCTAATTATTGCTTTTTAAAACAATAAAAATTGCCAAGGAGTGAAGGTAGTTAAAATAATAGTGGTTTCAAGGGAAAAACTCCTTTTCCGTGCTATGTCGTATTGCGGGCATGTTTATCCATGGTTGCCAGATATTTATACATTCATCATTTCTCTTATTCATTTTTTTTTTTGTTTGTTTTCCAGTCTGTCTTTGACGTGGCACCTGAATAAAAAGACAGGTGAAGTTCTTCGAGTTGTTGACCGTGGGAAGAACAGCATCAATCAGCTGCTGAGTT